AAACAATTGCCACATCTAGCATTCCTACACAATGAAATTTTTTAATAATGAAGAAAATATCTATTCTATTAGATTTTTCTAAAAGGTGTAATAAACTAATTAATTTAGTTGTATTTGGTAATTAAATTGACTATTTTTGGAAATACTCCAAAAAACTTGTCCCTCTCTATGTATCTATAAACCAGCATTGAACTTATCTCCAAATAAATTCTAAAGGCTAAAAAGGACCATATGATTAATATTCTAGGGTTGGGGGTTGGTACTAAGATTTGAACTCTATCGTCAATGATGAAGTTATGTTTTTTCTTATCTCACCCAAACGCAACAAATGGTAAGATTCATTTAATCTTTTTCTCGAGATTTAGTTGTCTCCTATTTTGTCAAGATTAAGACAGAGTTATTGTAGCATCAGTAAATATCTAAGAAATCAATTTTTTGTTGCATGGATATACTCCAAAATCAAATTATCAGGCCATCAGCGAGGATTATGAAACACAAAAATAAATTAAAAAACAACAGCACCAAACACACACATATATACAAGTATGATATATATATTTACAAATGGGGTCACGTACAAAATGAAGAAGTACGGACGTGGTTCATAATTGAATATTGCTTCGAGGAAAAAAGAAAGAGAAATCAAGTAATTTTTTTTTTTAAACTGAAAACAAATAATTGATCCCAATCATTTCTATAGAAATTTATCTATCTGTATATGCATAATTTCTCTATAGAAAATACTCCCTGAACACAATTAAAGCAATAAAAGCTGTGTCAGTCAACTTCGTTTTGATTATCCCCACAGTCTTGGACTTGGTAAATTAAAGTCAACTCTCGGATTTCTTTTTTAATGGTTAATGTAGTATTATTCAAAAACTAAAAAGTCTCACAGAAGTATGGCTTGATTTTAACGGAAAACGAAAGAGGAAACTGAAAACTTTCGAGTTCTTTATCCCTAAATTTTTGTTTCTTCTTCTGAAAAAAATCCAACTAACGAAACCTAATAAAAGACAAGATTCAGAAACCATTTGTCGAGGTCACTCGTATCTTTGATAAAGTGACAATGGATTACTAGTATTTCGTAAGTAGTAACCATATATGTCACTTAGAAGAAACCAATTTAGTCCATTATCTCAAACTTTTGAACGTCAAAATTAACTTTGAAAAAAAAAAAAATCCCTCTAAATAAGCAAAACAGAAAG